TGTTATGCCTTTTTAAATTCGTTGGGATCCCTACTATCAATCTGTATTCAAACATTTTTTAAATCGATAGGTTAAAAAAAGTTGTTGACCAAAAACCGATTCGTTTGTAAAGTCAGCCTTTTTTCATGATTTTTTGGAATATCTCGGCCAAATAATGTCCGATTTGGGAATTTTATACCATTTTGGACTCGTAAGGATCAGTACTATCGATTGGCATCAAAAAAATAAAAATCTAAATTTTGGCCCAAATCGGCAAAATGGCAAGGGGTTACATCATGTTTTTTCTCAAATTCCGGGTCGGTTCGAAAATCAAAACTTTTTTGATGATTTTTATTGAATATCTCGGGTAAATACTGTCCGATTCTGATATGTTATGCCTTTTTGAATTCGTAGGGATCCCTACTATCAATCTGCATTCAAACATTTTTAAAATCGATGGGTTAAAAAAAGTTGTTGACAAAAACCGATTCGTTTGTAAAGTCAACCTTTTTTCATGATTTTTTGGAATATCTCGGCCAAATAATGTCCGATTTGGGAATTTTATACCATTTTGGACTCGTAAGGATCAGTACTATCGATTGGCATCAAAAAAATAAAAATCTAAATTTTGGCCCAAATCGGCAAAATGGCAAGGTTATTACATCACGTTTTTTTTCAAATTGCGGGTCGTTTCGAAAATCAAAACTTTTTTGATGATTTTTATTGAATATCTCGGGTAAATAATGTCTGATTCTGATATGTTATGCGTTTTTGAATTCGTAGGGATCCCTACTATCAATCTGTATTCAAACATTTTTAAAATCAATGGGTTAAAAAAAGTTGTTGACCAAAAACCGATTCGTTTGTAAAGTCAACCTTTTTTCATGATTTTTTGGAATATCTCAGCCAAATAATGTCCGTTTTGGGAATTTTATACCATTTTGGACTCGTAAGGATCAGTATTATCGATTGGCATCAAAAAAATGAAAATCTAAATTTTGGCCCAAATCGGCAAAATGGCAAGGGGTTACATTACGTTTTTTCTCAAATTGCGGGTCGTTTCGAAAATCAAAACTTTTTTGATGATTTTTATTGAATATCTCGGGTAAATAATGTCTGATTCTGATATGTTATGCCTTTTTGAATTCGTAGGGATCCCTACTATCAATCTGTATTCAAACATTTTTAAAATCGATGGGTTAAAAAAAGTTGTTGACCAAAAACCGATTCGTTTGTAAAGTCAACCTTTTTTCATGATTTTTTGGAATATCTCAGCCAAATAATGTCCGTTTTGGGAATTTTATACCATTTTGGACTCGTAAGGATCAGTACTATCGATTGGCATCAAAAAAATGAAAATCTAAATTTTGGCCCAAATGGGCAAAGTGGCAAGGGGTTACATCATGTTTTTTCTCAAATTCCGGGTCGGTTCGAAAATCAAAACTTTTTTGATGATTTTTATTGAATATCTCGGGTAAATACTGTCCGATTCTGATATGTTATGCCTTTTTGAATTCGTTGGGATCCCTACTATCAATCTGTATTCAAACATTTTTGAAATCGATGGGTTAAAAAAAGTTGTTGACCAAAAACCGATTCGTTTGTAAAGTCAACCTTTTTTCATGATTTTTTGGAATATCTCGGCCAAATAATGTCCGATTTGGGAATTTTATACCATTTTGGACTCGTAAGGATCAGTACTATCGATTGGCATCAAAAAAATGAAAATCTAAATTTTGGCCCAAATCGGCAAAATGGCAAGGGGTTACATTACGTTTTTTCTCAAATTGCGGGTCGTTTCGAAAATCAAAACTTTTTTGATGATTTTTATTGAATATCTCGGGTAAATAATGTCTGATTCTGATATGTTATGCCTTTTTGAATTCGTAGGGATCCCTACTATCAATCTGCATTCAAACATTTTTAAAATCGATGGGTTAAAAAAAGTTGTTGACAAAAACCGATTCGTTTGTAAAGTCAACCTTTTTTCATGATTTTTTGGAATATCTCGGCCAAATAATGTCCGTTTTGGGAATTTTATACCATTTTGGACTCGTAAGGATCAGTACTATCGATTGGCATCAAAAAAATGAAAATCTAAATTTTGGCCCAAATCGGCAAAATGGCAAGGGGTTACATCATGTTTTTTCTCAAATTCCGGGTCGGTTCGAAAATCAAAACTTTTTTGATGATTTTTATTGAATATCTCGGGTAAATACTGTCCGATTCTGATATGTTATGCCTTTTTGAATTCGTTGGGATCCCTACTATCAATCTGTATTCAAACATTTTTAAAATCGATGGGTTAAAAAAAGTTGTTGACCAAAAACCGATTCGTTTGTAAAGTCAACCTTTTTTCATGATTTTTTGGAATATCTCAGCCAAATAATGTCCGTTTTGGGAATTTTATACCATTTTGGACTCGTAAGGATCAGTACTATCGATTGGCATCAAAAAAATGAAAATCTAAATTTTGGCCCAAATCGGCAAAATGGCAAGGGGTTACATTACGTTTTTTCTCAAATTGCGGGTCGTTTCGAAAATCAAAACTTTTTTGATGATTTTTATTGAATATCTCGGGTAAATAATGTCTGATTCTGATATGTTATGCCTTTTTGAATTCGTAGGGATCCCTACTATCAATCTGCATTCAAACATTTTTAAAATCGATGGGTTAAAAAAAGTTGTTGACAAAAACCGATTCGTTTGTAAAGTCAACCTTTTTTCATGATTATTTGAAATATCTCGGCCAAATAATGTCCGATTTGGGAATTTTATACCATTTTGGACTCGTAAGGATCAGTACTATCGATTGGCATCAAAAAAATGAAAATCTAAATTTTGGCCCAAATCGGCAAAATGGCAAGGGGTTACATTACGTTTTTTCTCATATTGCGGGTCGTTTCGAAAATCAAAACTTTTTTGATGATTTTTATTGAATATCTCGGGTAAATAATGTCTGATTCTGATATGTTATGCCTTTTTGGAATTCGTAGGGATCCCTACCATCAATCTGCATTCAAACATTTCAATAATCGATGGGTTAAAAAAAGTTGTTGACAAAAACCGATTCTTTTGTAAAGTCAACCTTTTTTCATGATTTTTTGGAATATCTCGGCCAAATAATGTCCGATTTGGGAATTTTATACCATTTTGGACTCGTAAGGATCAGTACTATCGATTGGCATCAAAAAAATGAAAATCTAAATTTTGGCCCAAATTGGCAAAATGGCAAGGGGTTACATCATGTTTTTTCTCAAATTCCGGGTCGTTTCGAAAATCAAAACTTTTTTGATGATTTTTATTGAATATATCGGGTAAATACTGTCCGATTCTGATATGTTATGCCTTTTTGAATTCGTAGGGATCCCTACTATCAATCTGCATTCAAACATTTTTCAAATCGTTGGGTTAAAAAAAGTTGCTGACTAAAAACCGATTCATTTGTAAAGTCAACCTTTTTTCATGATTTTTTGGAATATCTCAGCGAAATAATGTCCGATTTGGGAATTTTATACCATTTTGGACTCGTAAGGATCAGTACTATCGATTGGCATCAAAAAAATTAAAATCTAAATTTTAGCCCAAATCGGCAAAATGGCAAGGGGTTACATCATGTTTTTTCTCAAATTCCGGGTCGGTTCGAAAATCAAAACTTTTTTGATGATTTTTATTGAATATCTCGGGTAAATACTATCCGATTCTGATATGTTATGCCTTTTTGAATTCGTAGGGATCCCTACTATCAATCTGTATTCAAACATATTTAAAATCGATGGGTTAAAAAAAGTTGTTGACCAAAAACCGATTCGTTTGTAAAGTCAACCTTTTTTCATGATTTTTTGGAATATCTCGGCCATATAATGTCCGATTTGGGAATTTTATACCATTTTGGACTCGTAAGGATCAGTACTATCGATTGGCATCAAAAAATGAAAATCTAATTTTGGCCCAAATCGGCAAAATGGCAAGGGGTTACATCATGTTTTTTCTCAAATTCCGGGTCGTTTCGAAAATCAAAATTTTTTTGATGATTTTTATTGAATATCTCGGGTACGTGATTTCTCCAAACATGCGGGTGGAATTTTCCGAAACCCCGTCTTACCGTGCACCTTCATCACATAAAGTAAATATAGCGAAAATTTCAACAACAAAAATCACCAATCAGTCAGACAGTTAGTCAGTCTGTCAGGACAGTTTCATAAAACAGATATATAAATTCCATAAATTCTATATATTTCAATTTTTTTTAAATTATATTCAAAAATTTTAAAATGTTTTATTCCATTTTTTTCTATTTTTGTTTTCACCAAGACCCCCTTAAATATAATATATTGAAAAAAAAATGTTTTAGAATATTTAGCTGCAATTTGGAATAACCTCTGAACCCGTAAAGCTCCACTTTATAAAGAAGATTTTAGCTCCAGACGGTTAACACTTAATTTCAATCAGACACATATGAATTTACGCTTGACGATGTTTAAGCCAGCCAATAAAATATTTAAAAAATGGAAAAGTCGCCAAAACTAGCACCAAATTGTTTTTGTTTTATATATTTTGTTTATTTAAATTGTTTGCTGTTTAAAGCTCCGTAATCCTTAAAAAGCTTATGACCAAAAGCACAAGAAAACATTATTTAAAATGCACTGAGCTTTTAGCCTGTGCACAAACCGCAGCCAGCATGCGCTGACTTTATAAAGCTCTCTCTTTCACTCTTTCACTCTCTCTCTCTCTCTCTCTCTCTCTCTCTCTCTCTCTCTCTCTCTCTTTCTCTCTCTCTCTCTCTCGCTCTCTCTCTCTCTTTTCGCCCTGTGCCGCGCGAACTTTAATTTCTTTGAAAATGATTTTGCGGAAAAAGCTCGAGTTGCAATCTCGTCGCTTGCCATATATTTTTATCGCTCTTTATCAGTGAAAATTGGCTGAGCGAGCAAATAGAACAAAGGAAGATAACAAAAAATTTCGAAAGTGTTGAAATGGAATTGATAGGAACCCTCACGGCCAGCGGCTAACTGGAAACAGAAGAGCCAGTTAACCAGCAGCAATCGAGGCAAACGGAGGTTTAGCACAATCGAAAATAAAAATAATAAATAAGAAAAACTAATCCAATTGCAACATGCGGAGTCGTCGAGTGTGCATTTTGATAGCCACGCTTATCGCAATTGGCCAATTCGGCTGCCAGGCACTGAGTAAGCCCACCGCCCCATGGCTGCCCAATAAATATATATGTATATATCTATATAAAATCTCATTGCAGATTGCACTACGACAGGCTCGGACACGCCCACCATCTGCGCCGAGGGCGTAACGCAGTGTTTTGCCAAATCAGGTAAGTCTCTGGCCAGGTGTCATGACTCACGCGAATTACGCATGTAAAAACATACACAACTACACGACCAAACAGTTGTAGATAAGTCCCAGCCAGGTTCTTTATTGGGCTAAGTTCATTATTGTGCCTATCTCCGGGCAGCTGAACACGGTGCTCAAGAGGCGATAGCAATAAATACTGTGTACGCTGATCAGCAGTCATTATTGGGCATTAGGCTACGTTGTGAAGAAAAAACTACATCGCATTTGAAGTGCATTGCAAAATCGTACACTGTAAGAATTACTAAAGTTTTCCGTTGCACAAGCATACATTGCGATATAATATTATTATAAAATAATATATGAAAGAAGGCAGCATAAATCTTGAAGACCTCAAATGATTGATGAATGTTTTTAAGCCCTTGGCATTATAGGTATATAGGGTATATAGGGTAATATATATATAAATAAATAGGGTATTATAATTTTGTCATGAAATATGTGACGCATAGAAGGGAACAGCTCGCAAACCAAACAGTATATACATTCCAGATCTTGATGCTGATCATTGATATAGCCATGGTCGCCTGTCCGCCTGTCTAGTTCTATGCGAACTAGTCTCTCGGTTTTGAAGCTTTCGTCTTGAAACTCTGCATAGGTCCGTCTTTCTATTGCAGAATGTAGAGGATCGGACCACTATATCATATAGCTGAAAACCTTTTCTATATAAAGATAACCTGACCAAACTTGGGATTTATTAGTTCCATCCATCCACATATATATGTAAAATCCTATCAACATCTTAACCCTATATCACATAGAAAAGATCGTTCCAAACGTAGGTTCTTATATTACACAACTTTTTTGATTATCAAGATATCTTACCTAAGCTATCCATTTACAGGTTTTACTATGCTTCCTAGATATTTGCAAAATCTTATTAACATCGCATAACTATATCATATAGCTGCAATAGGGTAAATCGGTCGAAAAGTTGATTCCGATATGGAAACCTTTATGATGTTAAGTTAACTGGGCCAAACTCGGGCTTTATTAGTTCCATTATGAACCTTATATACATATATATATATATTAAAAATGTAATCAACATTGGAAAAATATATTATATAGCTGCCATAGGAATGATCGGTATTAAAGTAGTTTCTTGTATGGCAAAATATTCAGTTTTCAAAGATATTTTCATTTTCTTACTTTCTCGTTATTATGATTATATTGAGAGAGACTATAATTTCGACTAAACCCCTTTCTTATATGCCCCCTTCCAGATGACAGCGGAACTGTAACGCGCGGCTGCCTCACGGATGCAACCTGTACAGGTGCCTGCTTGCCCTGCAACACGGACAACTGCAATGCGAATCTGGTGTGCAAACAGTGCAACGGCACCCAGCCGCAATGCGCCACCTCCCAGACGGCGATCGGGACATCGCTGCAGCTGTGCTCGACCGGAGAACAGCAGTGCGTGAATCAGTTGGCGGCGAATGGCGCGTTGACCCGCGGCTGTGGCGAATGTGCGGCTAATGATGCCAATTGCGGTGCATGCAAGACGGACAACTGCAATGTGGGCATCTTTCCGGCAGATCGCCGGCTGTGCTACCAGTGCGACGGCGCCAACTGCCAGACGCTGGACAATGCGACCGTGCTGATGCCCTGCGCGACTTACCAGGCGGAGGCGCAGAAGTGTTATATGATTGGCAGCAGCGCGACGGCCATGCAGCGGGGCTGCCAGAACGATGAGGGCGCCAGCAACAAGTGCGCGGGCGCCACGCCCGATGCCAGCTGTGTCTTTTGCGACAATGAGAACGGCTGCAACAATCGCCCCTACGAGAGTGTCCTGGGCAGCTGCATCAAGTGCAACGACAACACCACCTGCGCCGACAGCCAGGAGGCGGATAAGGCCGTGGCCTGCCCGGCTTCGGTCTACACACAAAACGAAGTCAGTTGCTACACGAAAACGGGCGACGATAACACCGTCTCACGTGGCTGCACCAACGAGCTAGCCCAGGAATGCAACACAACGAATAACTGTGAAGCGTGCTCGGGCACCGGCTGCAACATTCAGGTGGCCGGATTCGGTTGCCTCATCTGCCGCAGCGACAACTATGCGCCCTGCCGCACTGCAAATGTCGGTATCGAAGTATGCCCAATTGCCAGTCAGACGGGCGAGGATGCCAATAAATGCTTCAGCGGACAGTGGAGTGAGTAACACGTTCATAGATACATCTAAGAAATATTCTCAGTAGTACATACGAAGATTCACTCAGAGGGTTTCACTTTGAGATACATTCAATGAATGATACGCTTAGAGAAACTCTCAGAGATCTAGGGATACTCTTGGACATAGACTCAGAGTTACACTCAGGGGAATATATTCAGAGATTCAGTCGGAGAGGATGCACTTAGAGATACACTCAGAAATACATCCAGAGATACATTGAGAAATGCTTGAGAGATAAACTCAAAAGATACTCTTAGAGAAACATTCAGGGATACATAAAGGAAATATTCCGGGAGTATTTCATAGATGCTGTCAGGGATAAACTTGGAGATACACTCAAATCACTAAAATCAACACTCTGGGATACACTTTAAGATACATTCAGATATACACAGAGAGATGTGGGGGATACTCTCAAAGGGATCCACTTTGAGATACATTCATAGGTACACTCAAAGCTACAGAGGAATACACTTAGAGATCCACTTAGAGGGATACAATTAGAGATACATTCAGAGACACACTCAAAGATACATTCAAAGGGATACACTTAGAGATACACTTCGAGAGACTCTCAGAGATATACTCAGTAAAACATTCAGGGATACATTCAGGAATATTCTCAGATAAATATTCAGGGAGTATCTCAGAGACACTTTCAGGGGTACACTTGGAGATGCACTCATAAATATACTCTCAGGTACTCTTAGAGGGATTCACTCAGGAATACACTTAGAAATACACTGAGAGAAAATCACAGAGATATAGGAATACACTAAGAAGGTTACACTTAGAGCTACACTCATAATTAATCTCAGAGGGATACACTTAGGGATACACTCCGAGAAACTCTCAGAGATATATTGGGATACACTGAAAGAATAGCACTTCGATATTATTCTCTGAGTGTAACCTTATGCACACACATAGGAAAGACTGAAATAAAAGGCAATTTTCCACCTTTTCCCCCTTATAGATGGTGTCGTGGTTCGCGGCTGCCTAGCTGATGCGACTCCCCTGATGAAATTCCAATGCACATCCGCAGACGACACGCGCTGCGAATCGTGTGACACCAAAGGATGCAACACCAAAAATTATAATGGCGCCGCCACGTTGCAGCACATGGGCCTCGGTCTGTTCGGACTGATCTTCGTTGTGAGCAAATATTTGTAAAGAAAAAAAAAGAAAACAAAATTAAAGCAAACCATATCTTAACTAATTGTACATACACCAAATGCTATCTAACTATGACAAACAAACAAAATACATATGTAATCAGCACGACCAGCTCTGAGTCATTATAGTTATTAATAATAGACTCTCCCCCATTAGAAACAAATTAGTTCAGTAGCAAACAACATAAAAAAAACTAAAGAAAAAACTCTTTAAAAAAGTTTTTAGAAAGATTGGACCAACGCTTGAGAAATCAATAAAAAATATGATAAATAATAAATAATATAAAAATTTTTGGATTCTATTTTTAACGGATATGCAAATTATAAATTATTATCACAAATAATCAAATTATTTGGGATTTGTTTAAAATGCACTTGGTTCATGAAATATTAGTTTCATAATTTTGTTAAATACTTTCAGCAACTGCAAATAATTTATTAGTTTGTTGTTCGCAAACTTTTCGTTATCAATTATTGATAATAGATAATTGGCTGCTTATCTATATCAACAAGATTATTGAACCGGTTGTTATTAAATTCATAGAGGGTATATGAAGAAATATATAGTAGAAATACAACAGTAGAGGGTATAAGATATGGGATATGCTATTCCAACGCGATATCTATGTATGCTTATAAATATAATGAAAAGGTCTGCTTGTTAAAACATTTTTACAGGGTATTATAGTTTAGATTTTTTATTTGAAAAATTTTAGAGTTACCCAACACTTGCAAAAAGTTTTCTAAGCCTTTTTGCAGGGTATTCTAGTTTACCTATTTTATTTTTAAACTTTCAAAATAACCCAACACATGCTTAAAGTTGTTAAAACATTTTTACAGGGTATACTAGTTTAGCTTTTTTATTTGAAAACTTTCAAAATTACCCAACACTTGCTTAAAGGTTTTTCAAATTACCCAACACTCGCTTAAAAGTTTTACATATCTGTTCTTCAGTCTAGAACGAGAAGAAAAAACTATATTTCCTTTTAAAAAAATATACTGCAAAATTGGTTTAAAATTGAAATTTTTATTTAAAGATAAGGAAAATAAGCTTTAGATTATAGAAAAAAATGTTGTTTCCATAAACAGCAAACAATATTATTAGACTTTTCATAATTCTTTAACACAATTTGAACAGTTTTTTTTCCTAATATTGATAGAAAGTTCCAACAAAATGCTCAAGATACTTTTTTTATCTGCAAAATTGCCAAACATCTAAAATTTTCTATGGATAGGCATATAAATCTATATACCCATTATTTATTTGTTATCTCTCGAAAGTCTCTTAACTTTTCGATTATGATATGTATGGATTTCTAGGAAACATTCATTATGAACGATTAGATAAGGAATGAAAGTTAATAAAACAACCGTATTAATTTTCAAGTAATAAAAGAGTTAATTGAAAAATATCGCTATACACCTGAAAAGCGACTCCAGCTGAGCTCTTAGACTTGCCCCAACGCAGCTATAAAGCATAGAAGCCAGATAGTTAAGCTGCCCAGGAGCTGGGCGGCGCCGGCCAATGCAGCCAGCTCCTTGTTGCAGAGTGGACCCGTGCACAGCTTGCAGAGCTCCGTTTCCTGGCGGCAATATTTGTCACCCTCCTCGGTCAGGTCCGACGTGCAGCCGCGCATGATCAGCTGTGTGTCACCTGGACGAGGAGATAAATAGTTTGTATAGAAATTAAATTAATCAAAGAGACTTTATATAAAGCAAAATAAAAAGTAATTTGAGACCAGCTGAGTCAAAAAAAAAGAACTGACAGAATATGTGTTTTTTTCCGGTCTCGAACCGGGAACTTCTCGTTCGTAAGTCGCGCGTCCTTACACTAAACCAAGCGTGCCTTAAAGCCCACGTGCAACAAATCTTCCTACATAAACTTCTTCCTACACAAAAGTGAGAGCGCATTGAAATTAAGAGAAAACGTACTTTTAAATTGTAACAAAATATTGCCAAAATTTATATTTCGAGGATTACTTAAGAGTTGTGTGAAAATGAGTCTCAAGCGAACTAGTTATTCCTGCAACCTACCAAAACCAACCTTAGCTTCCATGACTATATCTAATTCACTTACGTTTGAAGAGTGTATAGCATCCAAAGCGTTTGGCATTCGGTGGGCACTGCTGCCGCTCCGCGGGCTGCCGCAGACAGCTGCCATTCCGATAGCTGGAGCAGCTGAAGCAGCTGTTGGGCAGCAGAGGCATCGAGAGATTCACTTGGTTCACGGCGGGAACAGCTGACAAAGTGGGAGCTGGTGTCGTTGGAGCTGGTGTCATTGGAGCTGGTGTCTCTGGGGTCGTCGCCTCATGCGGCGCCGCTGCATCATCCTGGTAGTCCATCGAGTGAGTGGATTCTTCAGACTGAGCTGCTTTGGTGGGTTCGGGCTTTATTTCTTTGTCCGCATCTGGCTCCGCTGGCGGTTCAGTTGGATTTTCCTGCTCTTCCATTGCCTTGGCTTCGCTTCCCTTGCTCGATTCTGGTTCCGGTTCGGGCTCATTTTTATCCCCTTGCTGCTCCACCGACTCAGTTGCCTCTGCCTTGCCAGTCTCTGATTCCGCTGGCGGCTCAGTTGGATTTTCCTGCTCTTCCATTGCCTTGGCTTGCCTTGCTTTGATCGATTCTCGTTCCACTTCCGGTTTCGGGTTCGGTTCCGTTTCAGTTTCCGGCTGTTCCATTGACTCAATTTTCCTTGATGTGTCCACTTCTAGTTTCGGTTTCGGTTCAGCTACCCTTTCCTGCTGTTCCATTGATTTCGTTTCCTTTGGCTTGCTCGCTTCTGGTTCCGCTTCAGGCTTATTTTTGGTATCCAGTTGTTCCATTGACTTGGTTTCCCCTGCTACGCCCGCTTCTGGTTCCGGTTCCATTGGCTTGGTTTCCGTTGGATTGATTGATTCTGGTTCCGGTTCCGGTTCAGTTTTGATTTCGTCCTGCGCCAAGGACTTTTCCGCTGCTGATGAGGGCATCGTATGCGTCGTGGCCATATCCATAGCTAATGCCTCGCCCACAGTCGTCATCCCCACCTCCAGATGCTGATCCTGTCCCTGCTCCAGCTCCAGCTCCAGCTCCTGCTCCTTTGCTGCGCTGCTTCGCAGGAGCAGCAGCAGGCTGAGCGTTAACCAACTTAGATGCTTCACATTCATCGCTGATTTGGCTGATGTTTCAGTGTGGCAAGCTGTAAATATGGGCTTATCGAATGGGATTCCTGAAGAGCTTTGCAAATAAATTGGCTACAATACTCGAATTGTCGTCCGTCCGTTCCTGTCCCTTTGCTGCCGCGCGAGCAACTGCGGCAAGGCCATCAAATTGCTGGCCATATGTCGCTGATTGTCACGCAATTATCATACTCTAAATTAAATCGATATGCGGCAGTCGACCCATTTAAATGACCCCCCCCCCCCCTTCGCCACCACCCTCTTCCCACCCGGTTAAGTAGCTCCGTTTCATCCTGGCCGCAAAGCGAGCCTCCTGAATTATTGATCATGTGAACATTAGGCATTTCGAAAAACCTGCTGTCCCAGACCATGTATGTATATATATGTGTCCATATGATATGTCTATTCTGCATTTGACCTATGACATCTGGGCCTAACCGCAAGGTCAAAATGCAATCAAACTATTCTTATACCTATTATTATACCAAGAATAACATTTTCCTTATTTCAACAACGTCTGAAAAACTCATTTCTGATCCATGCGGCTAGATTAAATAGTTAGCCACAATTCAAGTAAAAAGTTGACCAAAACTTAACTCTGCTTTTAAAATGAGGAAGAATATTTTTGGCTGAAGTTCAAGTAACTATGTTACTTTCTAAATACCATAAAAATCCCTTATAGACATTGGTCGAAATTTCCAAAACTCAACCAATTTCAATGAGGAATGACTTTTTGGTTCATAATTTGGCCCCTAGATGAGCTCTGCATTAAAACCTCGAAACATAATTTTTGACCGAGATTCAAATAAAAATACTCTACGAAAATTACCTATATTCATTGGTCGAAATTTCCCATAGTCATAACTTTGTCAAAACTCAACCAACTTCAATGTGGATTGCCTTTTTGTTCGAGGTTTGCCCCCAGAATTAACTCTGCATTTACTTTCAATATGTTACTTTCTATATTCTGTATAAAAACCCATATAGACATAGGTCGAAATTTTCCACAAACCTTATCAAAACTAAACCCATTCCAATGCGGAATGTCTTTTTCTTCATGTTTTGACTCCTAAATAAATTTCTTATTAAAATGTAAACACATTTTTTTTCAAAAACCAATTAAAAATTTAACTCAAACATATACAAATCCCTTTTAGACAAATGTCAATATTTTCCAAAGCAATATTTTTGTCAAAGCTCAACCTATTTCAATGCGGAATTGCTTTTCGTTCATGATTTTTGATAAAGAATATACCTATTAAATTTAACGCATTCCCATAGTTGGGCATATACACTTTTGGATGTATTATCGCACATTATTCCAATATATAGTATATTTATAGCAAGTAGTAGCAATTTATGGATTGCCATTGTTCTCAAGCGGCCGAAATGCGGCTTATCCTTATCTCTATCTGACTGATAGAGGCCTTTGTTTTAATGCCCTGTGATAAGCCATAAAACAGATCTCCATTGTCAATGCACAAAAGCAATTTATTGGAGTGCAGGTGGCCAAAATGAACGTTCCAACTGACCAGCTGCTAATCCTCTTGCTTGGCTGTAAGTGGAGCCAACTGTTGCCCTTAATGTGTTTCCAATAACGCGAAGAATTATTCATAGGCCTCGCCCTGCAGCCGGTTGGGGCCATTGTCTGCTATCACTGCGACTCCGTTGCGCTGCCCGAGTGCGCCCAGACGCTGGGCGAGGTGGGCCTGCTGCCGTACAAGGAGTGCGCCCCGGAGCTGACGTGTGCCATGTCCATTGGTGGGTAGATGAAGTACCTCGTAATCAAATCTCAATTGGAAATTCCTTTGCAGTGGACTCGATTACGTATCGTGGCTGCGGCGCCGAGACGCCCACCACGCAGGCCAGCTATTCCAAAAGCTGTTCGAGCAATCTTTGCAACGCGGGCGTTTATCCACCTGGTCGGCTCAAGTGTCATCAGTGCGCGGGGGAGAGCTGTGTGGCTGCGCCGGCGGGCAAGCCGCGACCCTGTCTCTATCATCGGGAGGAGGATCAGTGCTATACGGAAATCGTGAGTGCAGCATTGGGGTATCGCGGCTGCAGCTCCGATGCCAATCACACGGCCGGATCAACGGCGCAGCTCTGCGAGATTAACGGCTGCAATGATGCACAAGGCGCCTGGACCTTGAGCTGTGCACGCTGCGATTCGCGTGAGGCACGCGGCTGCAAGATGGATCTCTTTCAGCTGGGCAGCCGCTGCAATGTCAGCCAGTTCGAGCAGTGCCAGCAGCAGCTGCTGCTTGGCCGGGAGCAGCAGCAATTCTGCTACACCTATCACAATCTGAGCCGCGTGATGCGCGGCTGCTCGGCAGAGCTGCCGGCAGAGCTGGAGCCAGTGCGGGATCAGCTAGTGACCTGCGCTACGGGCGACAACTGCAACGCAGGCTGCCTGCCGCAGCAGCGCTGCCTCAGCTGCAACTCGGCGGATCGGGAAACGTGCCGCAGCAATGCCACAGCGCTGAGCAGCAGCGTGTGCGGCTCCGCGGAGGCCTCCTCGTGCTATGCCTGCGAGTATGACGATTGGCAGGTGCGACGCGGCTGTGGCGCGCCGCCCAGCGATCCGCACGTAATCAACTGCTACGAATGCGCGGACAACGATGAGCTGGCGGCCTGCAATGTGCCGGACTTTACGCGCTGCTATCGCTGCAGCAGCGACAATGCCGCCGGCTGTGCCAACTGGGAGCAGCCCGGCGGCATTTACATAGAGCAGTGCGATGTGCCCGCAGCACCTTGTCTGATGGTTAGCCACACGAACGGCACCACGGAGCGCGGCTGTCAGCGGGCAGATTTCAACTGCAGCAATGCATCGGTGGCCAGCTGTCGCAGCTGTGAGGGCAGCTTTTGCAACACGGGCGCCTATCCCGAACAGCGACTGTGGTGCCATCAGTGCGTTAATTGCGAGCATGTGGAACGTGGACATAATGCGCTGCCCTGTGGACTGTTGGCCAATGAGCCGGCGAATCAGGCGGCCGCCTGCCTGGAATACTATGATGCGCACAGCGAGCTGGTGGTGCGCGGCTGTCGCTCCAATGGCCAGCTTTACTACGAGTGCATGTTGCGGAGCAGCGGTCAGGCGGGCTGTCGTCTGTGCCACAGGCACGGCTGCAATGAAACGCCAGGGCAACAGTTGCGCGACGGCCTTCGGCTGGAGCAGCAGGCGCTAATCTTACGTTCGGCGGCGGCAGCCATGGGAGCTACAACTTTAACATGTATTTTAGGTTGGTTTAGCATAATTTATCAAATAACTGCATTAAACTAGACATGTTGTAAACCGGCTTTAAATGGATATATAGTTAATATAGCTATTGCTCGTCCTCATTCAGCTCTGGCGGCTTGTAGCCGGGACTTAAGGCGCGACCGCGATGATTGAACATATAAAATGATGGAAAATTGCCCAGCGTATCCCAGGTTCGCTGCTGCATGTCCACAGTGGCGCGTATCTCCTTAAAGTTGCCCACAATTTGGATAATATTGTAAATGACCAGCACCAAGCTGATGACAGTTTGCAGTATAATCTGTAAAGATTTAATCATTAATTAGGACACAAAACTAAAACTTATATGCTCACATCTAGCGGCAGACTGCTCCACTCTTGCTCCGTCAGCCGCAAATAGGTGCGATCTGTTATAAATAAGAATATTTTAATTAATTCTCAGTGTGAGCAAAGGTTGACATCAATTTTCACTTACGATGTGCGGCGGAAAAAGCGGCATGCGCCAAGCTAGCAAAGCCCGCAATTAGCAGTAATTTATTAAAGAATTTGCTGCCCATTTTGACGTTTACTTTTAAATATCAAAAGCAGCAAGTTTGTTTAAATAACTCGAGCAAATTTACAGCGAAAAATTTTTACTTGTCTCTATGTTTAAGCAATTGGAAATAATTTTTGCCAGCTACACGTCAACGTGTGTGTGCCTTGCCAGACACAGCTAAAACAGCTGTTTGCCATTCGGCTGTGAACGCTGCCGGCCTTGCCACATCTGTCGAAAACGTTCACAATCGACTCTTGCTACGCTCGTATGCGTCTCGCTCGCTCGCTTTGCCTTTTCATTCGTATAAGCGACTTCGTGTGCTTTGGATGTTTTGCGCGCTTTATTAAAAAACCAAAATTACTCAGTTATAAACCAAACCCGCACAACTTTGCACCGGTATTTGCGCGCGCATCTTATTGTTAAACTATTGACAACGCATAAAATTGCTACAGTTCCAGTTAATTGCTAGCGAACAAGTAAGGTTTGTGTAGGCGTGACTGCACTTGTTTCAAGCCCTTTTGTGTGCGTGTGTGTGTATCCTTACATCCTCGCCTGTCCCCGCCGCCGCTGCCGACGCCGCCACCAAAAAACTGTGCACAGGGTGTGGTGTTGAAAAATTCCAGCGCAAAGTAAACCAAATTAAAAAAAAAAACCTTAAAAACATGTCGGTCTCCTCGAATGCCTCGTCCGCCTCGCGCAACGGCAGTGTCGATGATAGCACAACAACAACAACAACAACGGACAGTTCAGAGCTGTCGCACATTTTGAACCGACGACAGGAGATTATGGACTCCCAGGAGGCGGGCATCGAGGTGCCGCGCACCTTTAAGGTGGTCAATGTCTACACCGAATTCCATGAGTTTACGCGCAAGCAAATCAAGGATTATCAGAAGACCTTCAATACGTAAGTGCGCCCTAAAAGAATATAGTACATTATAATACCCATTAAATAAACCCAAAAGGGGGGGATATATTAACTAATAAAAAAAATATTAAAGGAAATATATCTTGGTTTTTCAAAAAATTTAATAATCTTGTAGGATTCGTTATATTTCTTGTTTTGACTAGAATTTAAGAGCTTGGTCTTCGAATTTATATGGGAAATTTTGTGATAGTATATTATTCATCTTCTTTTCTTTTAATATTGAGTGTATTTTACTTTTATATATTATTGGAATACATTTGTACAATTTTGGACCCACCTTTCGTTATCTTACATTAAAGAAAGTTCATTATTGGCTCAATTATATCGTACAGGGTATTTCGTAGTCGTATACCCGTGTTTGTTTACTAGCAAATTGCCTACTTCTTAGCTAAACTCAATTTGCAGCCTCACAACCGCTTGACACCTAGCTAAAAAAAAAAGGCCAAGCATAAAGCTTTTGCGGTTAATTGGCAACTAAACTGCATGACGCCCACCCCCTTCCGCCCCTCCCCTTACCAGGCACTCGAATGCAATGGGGCATGACTCACACCAAGTACTCTTTGAGACTTTGTCACAGTCATTTGCACTCGTCGCTTAAGATTTCAATTCCGCGACTCGCGACTCGGATCGCCCGTGAGTCAAAGTGTGCGCTACTTAAGGGTATTACATATTCATAAATCTCTAGCTGCGGTTTTCAGTTTTCGGTTCAGTTTTCTGTTGCCAGACGTGAGTCGACCGCCGACAATCGACAGGTCTGACACTTCGTCAAGTAGCTAGAATTTCCTTGTTTATACTCTGTTTACAAACTAAATACGAGTATATTGCTTTGATTACATGAGCGTATTGAAGGAATAGTGTTGTAAAGTCTTAAATATATCTCTCCTTGTTAAAGATTAAGCTGGAATAGTGTTGCAAAGTCGTAAATATAATTAACATATTAAAGATTATGTTAAAAATATACCCGCCGCAAATTACAGTTTGAAGGCAACTGCTTTGCTGTCATGGTTTTTGAGTGACTGACCTCACAATCATTAAGCTGGAATAGTGTTGTAAAGTCTTGAATAAATCTCTATTTATAAAAGATTAAAAACAAAATATTCCCGCCGCAAAAAGTTTATCGCTTACAGTTTGAAGGCAACTGCTTTGCAGTCGCAATCATTCAGCCATTTCGAGCTAAAACAGTTAACAGGGTATTGCGCAGTCAGCTGCATTTGAATCTTCGGCTTGTTGTAGGCGTCAGCTCTCGCATTACCAAACACCCTGCTGCATCCGCCAAACGATCGCGTTCTCCGTGTCCAATGAAGCGCTAAAAATGTTGCGCAATCTTAGCCAGCGAATCTGCATAGGTATTTTGATAACATAAGTATATATATAACATATATACAGAGTATATAGTCTGCTTGGACAGACACCTGGCACGTCGCTTTTGATAACTTATCTCAGCTCATCCAAATTTGGCTTCTGCGCCCGCTATTTGTGCTTTGCATAGAAAAAATATCATCGTCTGCTCCTCCTCTCTCTCTCTCTCCCCCTCTCTGTCTATGTCGCCCCCCACGGCCACAATTCTCAGAACAGGCGGCTGATTCAGCGCTTAACGTTAAACCTTAACGAATCAGCTGCAAGCGTCGAGCACAAAAACCAGTGTTGAAAAGCTTTATTAGCTATGTTGAATCAAAAGATTAGCTTGGAATAAATAAACTAAGTTGAGTGAGTAATTTAATTGCAGCTACGCTCTTTGTTTGTAATTAACTATAGTATTATTTGTAAAGTAATGTGAATGAATAATGTTAAATTATTTTGAACCAACATTCTTACTGTGCTGGGCATCCATTGTTAAATAAAAGAATTAACTTTCCTATCACCAAGGCTCAAATAAAAAACCTCATTTAAAAGTATATTTTATATGAGCTGGCATATTATTGAAACTCTCAGGTCTCTAAATAATAAAAACAAATATATAATATTTGGATATATTTATTTTTTTTGAAAGAAAATCCTTACTTCGATTACAAATATAGCTATGTAAATATGTATATAGTAATAAAAAGGCTAACTGGACAACACTGTACAGTGCACACAGGCTAACAGGTAATCAAATTTATCTGGCAATTAGCAGCTGGGCAGCACTCTACACACAAACATACCAGCAGGTAATCAAATTGTGCTGACAATTAGCAGCAGCTGCTCTCTGTGTGTCTTTCCATTAGCAACTCTGGCCAATTGGAGCAGAGCTCCTAACTAGCTGGCAAAACAAGAGAATCCTGTGAGTCCTATTTGAAAAGAGCTGCTGTGATTCACTGTGGGCCTAATTGGGTCACTCGACGGGCAAATCGACGCTTGGCACATTGTCAAAATGAAATATTTGTAAGACGAGACACGAAATAAAACAAACGAACGTGCCTTGAAAATGAAATCGGGCAGGGCCCCAACCCAAATAGCAGCTCCACAATGTCTGGGAATTGCTCAAGACGCCAATACTTGCACATCTTAGGCGTTTAAATACAGGGTATAATGTGTAAATGTTATATAAAGCATAAACGTAATGAAGGGAATTTAGAATAGACTATTATTTTCTATGGTTTAAAGTTTAATAGTCAAGCATGTTTAAAACATTTAAACTATGCCTGGTATAACCCATCTGGTTTTAACCAGTTTGGCCTGAGCCAGGTTTTTTTCCTAGAATTTTAAACACTGTGATTAATAACAAATTAAAATTCTTTGATTTTAGAGTGGATTCAAATGTGCAAATCAATTTCTATAAACCCTGTTTGTTCATACAAAATTAATAAAAGCTCAAATTTTAATCACAAATATTCTATATTCTAAGGCACATAAGGCACATCTTTAAGTCATTTTTAAATTTATATAAAAAGTTTTGGGGTTCAATTCACAAATAGATCTTTTGAAACCAGACCTCAACAGCGTCATTTTCACCCATTTTTCATGCGATTTAAATGAATTTTTATAAATAGACAACCTTTATAGTTAAGTTAGCTTTAAAGAAGATTCGCAAACAGAAACAAGAATTTCCGATACAGCTCAACTTACAGCAGTTGTTGAATTTTATGTGCATTTCAATTATAGAACTGGTTTCCAGTTTATCAGGCATTATCTTCAAGTCAAGTTTTGTGCACCCAGCATCCCCTCCCCCTTCCCCCCTCCCCCTTCCCCCTCACTCTCTTCTAAATGCCAATCGACATCTTCACGTGCTCTTTCAGGTTGTTGTCAAAATTTACAAAAACAATAACCGGCTGCGGCGTCTGCGCAGCTTTTGGCATTTCGAGTCGCCTCTCCCCCCCCCCCCCCCCCCTTCAACCCTTCCCCTCATGAATATATGCGCTAATTTTGTAAATTTAGCGAACAAACTTGAAAACATGGCAAGTAAAGTGTTCTACTGAGTCACGCGGCATTGTTTTATAAAGAAATCGCTACTGATTCAGCGAATCCGCCGGCAGATAAACAAATAAACCAATAATAACATATTGCAAATTGTATAAACAATTTCCCGAAAACAAGCGTCATGTGGGCTGGGCAATAAACAAAAAAAAAACAGGGTATCTTCATTTCCTAGAGCCGATAACATTTCGAGGCGCGCACTGCACGGCCCAATTGTGCTTAAACAGATATGAATTTGTAATTGTAATTGTTTATACTATATAAAAGAAAAAAGAAGATGAAAGCCAACAAGAGAGTGCTGCAGTCGAGGGGTGCCAGACTAGGAAATACCCTGTAAACAGGCTTGCCGGACAAAGTTGTTATACGTTTTACATGTGTAAACATAATTGAAAGCACTTTTCTTTTTCTAAGTCCAATTCTAAATATTCACTTTTAAATAACTTTAATATCTATTCTTCGATTAAAGTAAAATTTAAAAAAAAATTAAATATGAGGAAGTTGAGGAAATCCAAAAATAAATATTTTCATTACAAAAACCTGACAGATAATTAAAATAATTAAAATTCCTACATGTGCACAAAACCAATATGCCCCACTATGCCCATTTTCAATTGGCTACAGGGTATTAAAACGAAGAGGAAACCTCATTTGCCCAGCGCAGCTCTCAGCGCTAATCGGACACGCAATATGTAATGTTTTCTTCTTTTTTTTTCTTTTAGCGTCGTAATTATTTGTTGATATTGCTGGATTTTAGTTTCCGGGCTTTTATTTTGGATGCGCCATTTTCCGCACGCTTTTCCGGGGGGCAGCAGCAGACGCTGGCGATAAATACCAGACGCTCACAACTTGATGATATTGATTTTAGTTTTTATGTGCGACGCCCCAAGTCTGGCAAAATTTCACACATAGAGATAAATATACATAAATCATCCAATGGGTGGGTGGAGTAGGATTAGGAGTAGGAGCAGGGCGTCGTCTGGGCGTCTGTCTGCAGCTGATAAAGATGAAAATCCTTAAACTAGAGAAGCAACCACCACAAACATTCCCCTTCTCCATTGTCCATTTTGCAATTTGGCTTATTGCATATTTAGCTTAAATGAGTTCACACAGAAAATACATAAACAAACCACATTTGCATGCTAGTTCAGACAATGTTATTTAGAGATGGGCCTTTGTCGTGCTTTCTTGTAAAATGAAAAAGCGAAAGGAAAAGGTTTTCCATATTACCAGTACAGTTATGCACATTAAATTTGAGGTTATGCGAGCTTAAATCGATAAACGATATATCGCTTAAAAGCACGCTCATCACTAGCAACGATGTCAATGCCATACAAATTGGGTTCATGGCAAAATGTACAGCAATAAAGAACACGCACAACGCACAAAATCAGTTACACGCACTTTACAATTTGAGGGAGGGTTGTTTTGTCGGCCCCACAATCAGCATATCATGGCAAGCTGCGGCGAAAAGCTTTTAATTAAACCGCAGTCACCACCCATTACCACCGAAGCATAAACCAGCCTCGAGCTCTTTCGCAAAGGGGTTGCTGTTGCACATTTAAGGATAAACTGCAGCGGCCTTT